CGCCTCAGTAAAAGGGATGATAAGAGCCTCCCCTTCAAAGTTTGCACAGGACCTCGCACCCCTCCTGCGATGACTCTGATTGCACAAATATGTGTAACATGTGTATCCCCAGGTGCATGAGGAAAAACTAAATCAGGACGCTCCTTTACAAGCATTGCTCCATATTACTAATAGTAGTAGTAAATAGGAAACTTGGCAACAGCTACTTTTCCCTGGGTCGGTATTAAAACGCTGACAATGAAATTATGTCATAACCACGATGACCCTGGGTGAGCAGGCCTCTTGCTGCAGGAGCCTGATGGGTGGAGTCCGGTCGTCGGGGAGATTCAGCTCACCTGGTTTGGCTGCACTATATAAACTGTTGGCAGTCAGCCAGGCTCTCTCTCTCTCTCTCTCCCCTCTGGTATCCACTTTGTTTTGTTCGTCTTTAGATTAATTTCCTTTTCAGTTGTGTGCAATTAACTTATTTTTAAGTTATAACTCATGAGTGGTCTTCTCCCTCCTTTGTCCAGCCTTGAAAATGAAAATGAAAATAATCGGGACAATTTAAATAAATTAACAGGAAGAACAAAACAACAAAAACATCCAAAAAAAATAAAATCTACAAGAACCTTTTTATCTTCTACTTAAAGATTCTTGTGATATAAAGATGAGATGTAAAGGATGGAGAACTGAGATGTGGATCTACATGTTGCTGGGGTTTTTTTTCCCCATAGCATTAGTAATGCTGTCAGTAATACTGCCAGTGTCGGGCTGCGGCACTTGTGGATTTTACACATTTTTAGAAAGCAAGAGACTGACCAGCTGAGAGTGACTTGTGACTTACACATAAACCGCCACTCGGAGCTAAAAAAGAAAAGGGTGTTAACACGTTTAACCTATCTGAAACACCTGACTGTGTGTGTGAGGCAGAGACAGGAAAACCGCACAGCAGGTGATAATCAGGGTAATCACCTAGAATGCATTTAACTCAAAGCTTCCTGGAGCATTTAATGTGTTTACTGTGGCAGTATCTCAGCACAGGACCTTAGTGTAGCACTTCACAATGAAACTTTCACTGTCCGTGCAACATGATAACCCTGTTGCATTGCAAGACGGTGGAGACGGTGGCATTTAGTGCACCTGGGAAATTACAGTGAGGTGAAGACAATGAGCCCTTTTTTTGTTTCAATTTTCTTTTCATTTTCACCTTTTTGTCATTAAGCCTGTGTATACACCTGTGCAGACAGTTGCTGGATGAACCTGTTGCCCAGGATTGTAATGTGATTTGTTCTAAGGGTAAGTACTGAGTGAAGGACAGATTTTTGTTTAGATAGTGATATATCTGAGGGGGTGTGCGTAGCATTGTCGTTACTCATGACTGAACATGAATTAAACTTCGAGCCAGGCAAATTCATTAGAATTTACTTAAATAAACTTTGTCCCACACACTGGTTAAACCATGACTAAATATCAGTTTAGTTTTAATTGAGCACATGCACTGAATTAGTCAAGAGAGACGCAGAAAAACACAACACTCACAACAAGTTCATCACTTCACCACACGGTGGAGCTGCGGCTCAAGCTTTCATATTGCTCATTCTCTGCTGCACTGACACGCCTGTGAGACATGACATTTAAGATTAGGGCTGGATGTGACATATAATATTCCACATGTTTAATCTTAATTGAAAACCTGCCACCGGTGCGTGTGCATGTTTTGTCTTTATATTTCATAGTGCGCCCTGTATATGTTGGTAGTTATCTGAGGTAGGCAACACACAAACGTGTCAACCATAGAGAGGGTTCTTATTACTCATGCAACAGTTCATGTTGCTGATTTTATTTTCTGGTCATAGATAACATTTTGGATTTCTGTCGTCTTTATTTCCTGCCCCGGCATCCGACTCCAGTGCATAGGAAATGGAAGAGCATATCTGGCTTAACTAAGCAGTTATGCTGCTGTTTCAAATCAACAGACCTTGTTATGCCTTGTTAACTTTTTCCCCTGAAAACATGGTTGAATCTCGCTTTTGTTGTTTTTTTGCTGTGACATCTTTAACTGCTGCTGCTGCTGCTGCTGCTGCTTCCTCTGCTTCTCTTGTGGAAGTCAACAGGAAGGTAAATTATAATTTCAGAGGCAAATGGTTAGATTGACACTAGATATGTTTGGTGAACTGCTTGCAAAGGTCACGCCAAAGAGAGACTCCAAATGTCAAACACCCGTCTCTGAAGTTTAAGCCTTTGTAAGATCTGACGGATTGATATTCTGTTCCAGACTCGAAAAATGTCATTACTGATATTTTGATGCAGAATATATTTTTGCTTCTCCGATAATGCTAATTGTGCACTGATGGTCATCTGTGGAAGACACTGCTTCAGTGATATGATCCTGATGCGTACATGTGAGTTTGTGCTTTGTTCTGTAAATTGTATCGGGAGCGTTATTTTGCGCAAACACCCCTGACCTTTTTTTGTCCTTAGTGCCCTTTCAAACCAAGATCGAATCTCAAACAGCGATAACCACCTGAGGCTCTAAAAACCAGAAGGGGCATATTAACAGTTTGGAGGATGTAATGTAGCAAATGTCACTATTTGCATGTCAGTGATTCTCTAAGGAAAGCTACTGCTCACAAACCAAACCAATAAATCTACATTCTTGAAGGTTTTTTCACTCGAACACGCAACAACCTTTTTCATGTTTTTGTAACATTTTCTCCAAGGACGTGTCTTATTGAGGTGATACAGTGATCCTTAAGATACAAATGATTAAACACAGGTAAGTAGATGCCATCTGCAAGCTGAAACAATCTTTAAATTAGGTCCAGAGAGAGCATGCAAGGAGCATGCTGGGAAACTAGAGAAGCAAATGGGTTTGGAAGAGGTATGCACTGTTGAAGTTCCAAATCAAAAAGATTGATTTTATTTTAAAGCCTTTGTCTGTAGAAAGAGTTTCTGAAGGTAGTAAAATGAAAAGAAAGTCCTGGTGTGTTGTTTTCATTCTGGGTGTCTCAGAGGGAAAGAGAGAGAGAGAGAGCGGGGCGAGGCCGTCTGCCACAGCGTCCTCTTTGATGTCGCCACCGAGGGGCGCCAAAGTTGGAAATTTACATATTTTCCACACATAGTGAAGATCATGAAAAGTTCGCTCGGTAACACTTACGGCATGATGCGGTGAAATGGTGACAGTAGAGCAGGTATGATAAATACGAAGCTGGGAGCAAGGAGATGGTTAGCTTAGTTTAGCTTAGCTTAGCATAACATAAAGACTTGAAACAGGGGGGAAACACCCAGCTCTGTCCTAAACTGAAGAAATCAATTTACCAGTAATTCTGTGTTTGCATGTGTTTAATCTTTGTTTAGTCTCTGCTGCCTGGCAAACTCAATGTGACAACAAGGAAGTCACTGCGCTGCTATAAACGGTCCGACACATAAACCAAACAAAACACAGCCTGTCGTTTCTGCTCTTCGGTTTTTGTTTGCATTAAACAAACGACATGCAACGTGTTAATGAGCAGAGGCGCATCGTCAGGGGACGCAAACAAGGCAAATGCTTGGGGACCCAAGGGGAAAAGCCCCCCCCCCCCCATGGCCCCTCATATTGGCACATTTTGTAATGACAACTATAAATCCCCTTAAACCTCCTGTACAGACATTAAACAGTGCACTGCTGCTGCCCCCAAAACCCCTGTAAGAGCTAGCATCTACCCATTAGATGCATGTAAGGCATTCAGGGAACATCTGTAAATTGTAGCATGGGGTCTTCTCAAATGGGCTTCTTTTCTTGGAGCCCCCTAGCGTCTAGGATCGCCATTGTTAATGAACGAGCTTGACAGGTTCTGGTAGGTGGGCTGTCCCCCCTGCTGTCTGACTGCTAGGCTAAGCTAACAGTCCCCTGGCTCCAGCTTCATATTTAATGAACAGATATGGGAGTGGTATTGATCTTTTCGCCTAAGTCTCGGCAAAATAATGACTAAGCATATTTTCCTGAACTGTTGAATCATCACTTTCAGGTCTGGGAATCTGAAAATGTCCTGGAATAAAATTCAGGAGCGGGATTTTAAGCTTGATGAAGCTTGATGCACAAATTTATTTTTATTCAGGACATAACCTATGGTTAAATCATTATACTGTATTTACCTTGCATTAATTCTGTGTAGCGTATGCATAGTGCTGAATCTGTGTAGATTTTGTGCAACAGTTTCCCTATAAAAAAGAAATGCATGTGATTATTGCCAAAGCTCTCTGTAAGCCACAGTATTAGACACTTCTGCAGACATTAATTTTTTACAAACCATTTTTTTAATTTGGCAAACACCAAGCAACACTTGTAACAGGGTTTATAAGTGACGGGAGCACACAAGAAGACAAGCTGTAACACTTTGAAGAATGTGACACAAATATCTGAGTTTTTATAGAGACATTATCGACAGCGTCTTTAACAATGCTTTTATTGATTTACAACATGCGTCTGTATTTGGGTGTGTGCAGGAAGAAAAGTGTGCTTCCGGCTGAGGAGCCCTGCCAAAGTGGCATTCATGCTTCTTTTTAAATGGAAAGAAATTGGGCTGGATAAAAGTGAGTGTGAATGCTTTTTGATTTGATGGTGATTTGAAATATTCCTCCGCCTTAGACAGAAATAAACAAGTCCCCCTTTCAAATGCCTCTTCAACTTAAACTACCTTTTTGTTTAGCTGTGTTTTGGTTTTTTTTCCTCTCTGAGCTGATATTCTTTTGTCAGAAATGCAACATGAAAGAAAATGTTTTGTGCTTCACGCAGAAATGAGAGAACTCACCAGAGTTAAGTGAAAATGAGTTCAAAAGCAGGTGCCATCATTTCCTCAGAAACAGTTCCTGCCTATGACGAGGTGCCATCAGAGATGCCTCTGTGATCGCTGATGTGTGTTTTCCAAAAGGTGATGTTAATTAAAGCGATATGTGAAACAGCATATAGGTGTTAAAAGATATAGGTGTTAGGCAGGAATGTTACCTACTGCAACATCGTTGTTAAAAAAGACATGAGCTCATGCATCTTCATTGGTTGTCATGTTGGAAAGTTTGAACCTTTCCTCCTCCTCCTCCTCTTCCTTCTGCTTCTCTTGCACTTCTCCTTCTAAATGGCGTCCAATCATTAGCTGGTACATCAGCACACCCACCACTGCGCCCAAGAAGGGGGCACAGATGGGCACGAAGAACCAGTAGGTGTTTGCACTGTAAGAGAAAAATTAAAGAAAAAAAAAAAAAAACAAGGTGCAAGGTGTTGTTTCAGAATCTCTATTCAATGTATTTTACTGACTACAGACTTAAATAAAGTATTTGTGTGCGTGTCAGAAGTGGCAAAGATGCAGTGTTGTAGGTCTGAAAGCATGTGAGTCATGTCAGTAATGCAGGTAACATACTTATATGTAAATCATGATATGGTTTAACATGTTTAAAGAAACATTTCAAGGCTAATCAGCCTTTAAAAACAGTTAAATAATGTCTTCTGCGGCTCTGGAGGGAGCTGTGTTCGTGAAGGACAAAAATATATCTAAATGTGTAATTCTGTTTTGTAATACAGAAATATTTGCTTTGGGTTTTATTTAAAATTTCTAAACTTCTAATTTCTTATGTGGTGTTTGGTGGGAATTGTGAGAAAACAGATTTTCGTGGCATAAAGAAAAGTTCTGGTTATTTTCATCGATGTGTCTCAGCCCAAAAATCAAACGTAGCCACGGTGGCTTGCTGTTAGCCAGCTCCTCTGCTCCACCCAGACTCCCTCCACTTTGAGCACATTTGAATTATCGGCTCTGGTAACTGACAGGTGAAAGGTGGTAAATGCTAAAATCATCACATCCGATCTTTATTACATCCCTTAACAGACTTGAATATTGTTTTACTCACGTGAAAACCTCTCCACCCCAGCCTGCAAGAGCCGTGAAGATGCGCGGGCCCAGGTCCCTGGCTGGGTTGACAGCATACCCGGAGTTGAAGCCCATTGACAGGCCGATGACCAACACCACAAAGCCGACAGTGAAGGCCTCCAGACCTCGAGGGACTGGGTTGTTGTGTGGATCAACTATGGCCAGGATGCACACGATCAATGCAGCTGTTCCAATAATCTGGGACAGAGAGCAGGTGCAGTGAATCGATTCATACTTTAAATAGTTCGATGTGATCCTCAATTTCTTTCATCAGACACAAAATAGTTCTGCTGTTGCATGAGCAATCAAAAGATGTTAAATACTCACACACACCTCAATATTGCACATTTATTTGTCTTGTGATTCCTGTGTGGTTTAATCACCTTTTCTTTTTTTCTTTTAATTTGTGATATTCAGAGTGGATTTATTCTAAAACAGTTGACAGACTCTGAGACTGAGAAAGACTGAGAAACATCTTAGACAACGTAGAACTTCATATAACTTCCACTGTCCACTGAAGTATCCCGGCGTCAGTGGACAGCGGAGGCGGCTCAAGGAGAGCCCGGCCGAACAGTCAGCTTTCACAGCATATGGATGGATATGTTATAGATTACTGCACATGCTGCGACATGTCAAGGATCTGTACGAGTGCTGCAGCAGCGAGTAGCCAGCAGAGGCAGCACTGCTAAATAATGTAACAGAGCTGCAAAAAGAGAGAGACTGCATGGCCGACACCAGCACAGAGGAAGTCCCATTTCAGTGACAACAGGGGTCTTGGAAATTTTCCTCAAAGATAAAGTGAAAAACAAAACCAGTCAAGAGAAGAGAAGCTGTTTAGTAAGTGAGTGTGTGGCAGAAATATAATGTTATATCATTTTCCGATGATCGTTAAGCACGGCTAATGTATACCTGCTAACGGTTGGTGTCAGATCACAATTTGAGGTTTGATATCCTGTTGAAAACTGAAACTATTCTAATATTCTTTTGTAAGTTTGGTTAAAGTGTTCTTTATTTGATGTAAATTAGTATTAAGATGAAACTGTGTACAGAAATTAACACGCTCTGGCCTGGGCAAGATGCTTTCTCTACCCATACACAGTTGGTATGTTGACTTCACGGTGCATTCCTCAGCTTGTGTTCCACTTGCCGCCGGTCCAGATTTCCCTCAGGTGTAGCGCCGGTAACAAATACAGGCAAAAGGCCCCTCACAGTACATGCTGACAATGTGGTATATCAATTTGCTTCTGTCTGCTCAGACCACCTATCAAACAACTTCCTGCCTCGTGGGCTGAGGCGCACGCTCTGAAATAAAAATGTCACTCACGCCTGTCTGAGAAACGTAAGTTCTCTCTGAGATACATACGTGTCGCCAGCAGCAGCAGCAGCAGCAGCAGCAGGATTATGCCGTTATCTTCCGACACACCATTGAACTTCCTTTTTGTTCCTGCTCATGACGCTGCTCCACGGGATTGAGAGTTTAGACAGTGAGATCATTTGAATAGTGGCACTGACCTGCTCATTACACTTAACGGCTGCTTTTAACAGGTTAAAGAGGATGAGAGGAGCTGAAGTGATGTGATTGGCTATTAGACCATTACTGAATTGCCAGATTTTCCACAGAGTACTTCTGACTGATAAGACCTTTGGTCTCCAGGAGTGAAGCAATGCAAAGTCCTCCACACTGATGTCTGAGTGCACTTTGTCTTCAGAGGACGTGACTAAGCTCTTCATTCATCCACCGCTTGAAAACTAAACTTTTACTTGAGTCAGTGCTGCAGTCAGTTCAGCTCAACCTGACGTGCACCATTGTGACCTCAAGTATCAATTCAAGTCTATGATTGCTTTTTTTGTTTAAAGCTCAGGTTTAGATGTCTAAAGAAATCAGAAAGCTTTAGATGTGTAGAGAAAAATTTTCACTTCTTAGAGGTGAAATACTTAAAAAAGAAAATCAAGCCATTGTTACCTGATCAAAGACTCCATTAAGCAGGGTGAGGTGTTTGGATGGATATGTGGCAAAAATTCCAGCTGTGGCATTCTTCCCCACCACAATCAACTCCCCCTTGCCAAAGTCCCATAATGCATCTGGTGAAACATTGTGCAAATCATCAAGAAATATTTTTAACTTTTAATAAAGTTGATTTTTGACAGCTACTGCAAACAGTAATAAATTAGCTGTTTCCGTTTCTTCTTCTTCCTCTCTGCTCGGTCACATAGCTGCTGTCAGCACTGAATGGGAGCCAGGGATGCACAAACATATAGAGAGGTATCGCTATACAGGCATGCAGGCAGCTCCAGCATACAGAGGTCGAAACAACATGTACAAACTGTGATACTTAGCTTGTCACACAAATAACACAGCTGCACAGTACTGCACACATGACACAATACGAACAGGAATCCATGAATTCATGTATGAACCCAATGCCCCAAAGAGAGCCAAAGATATGCTTCACTATGAGTCCCGACTTTCTTCAGTCGTCATGTGATTCACAGTGTATTTTTTCCTCTTTCTAAAAAAGCAAATGGGACCTGGAGTCTTATATAAGCTCAATGGGCGTCCACTATTGTTTTTCAGAATAAAATCCAAACCACAGTCGATTTGAAGCCATGCTAGCTGCACGGTGGTAGGGATGGCTCTGTAGGTCGGTCTCCCTCTTTGAGACTGAAATATCTCAACAACTGTTGGATGGAAGGACATAAAATTTTGTACAAACATTCATGGTTCCCAGATGATGCATCCTAATGACTTCGACGATCCTTTGTTTTTCCTCTAGCGCCACCATGAGGTTGACATTTTGTTGTTCTGATTGAAATGTCCTCGGAATCACCGGGTGCCATGAAACTTGGTACAGACATTCATGGACACATGTCAATCCCTGCAACACGCTGAACTAAAATGTTTAACACGATACGCAGTGTATCTGTTCAAATGTTAGCATTGTAATTGTGAGCATGTTAGCATCCTGTTATTAGCATTCAGCTACAGCGAGCACTGCTGTAATATATCTACATATAAAATTAAAAACATTTGAACAATTTCATATATTGACATACGTCTAGCCCGTACAAATATGTATGTTTATGTATGTGTGCTCACATTGTAGACATATGTTACATAAATATATATCCCGAACCCTTCCCTAAAGCCTGTCAGTAAATGTTTATATTATATACTGTATAAAAATTCATCATATAGGTATTTATTTTACCATATATACATTTATATGTGTTTCATACATGTCATAAACTTATATCTTCAAATATCCAGAGGATGTATGTCTGTGATATGCGTCTCACGGAGCTGTTAGCATGGCTGTAGACTCTCAGTCTTGTTCCTCTGCTCTTCCTAAAAAGCAGAGACTTGTGGTGTTTTTTTTAAGTTTAAGTTTAAGTTTTTTTTTTTTAGTTGCTCCTTTGTTCCCTGATGTGTTTGCTCAGAGCAAACAACCATTTGGCTTTGTTCAAACTGTCAAGCAGGAAGTTACAACATGAAGTAAATCTTTAAATGTCACCATCAAGCTACTGTATTCTTGAAAGTTCAGTTTTGTATTCTGGCTCCCCGGGGGTCCATCCAGCTTTTGTCCCATCCCACGACCCCGCATGAAACTACTGAGCGCGCTGACACCTGACAACAATTTTGATTTGTTTAAGGACAAGAGGCACACAGCTCTTCAGTTTCACGTACCGGAATACATGCCAAATACGATCGCTGCACCCAGGAAGGCCCCGAGCGTCTGGAAGAAGAAGAACAACGGGAACTTCCTCCAAGGCTCTCTCCCCAGTAAGCACAGTGTGAAAGTGACCGCCGGGTTCAGATGACCACCTGAAGATGAGAAAAAAATATAGAAACCATGGTACTTTTTTTTGTACATGTACATGTATCAGATCCTGTCTTATTCACAGTGAGAAACCAAACAGATGGAGGCTGTTTTATCTCCACCGCGTACAGTAGGGTCCCCTTTTTCTCAGGTAGACAGAGTTCTGAGCGTACCATATAGGCTATTCAGTAATTGCGGCCTCGGTAAAGTCCTATAAGGATGGAGTGTCTCTGTGACACAAATTAAATTGGAAAGATGAAAAGATTCAGAAAAGTATTCTTTTTTTCTAACCTTGAAGGGGGAAAGAGCTGCTCTGATGGCACACTCATGTGGGTGTCGCACTTGCATTCATACCTTAATCGTGTCAGGATAGGAGCTATCTAATTATAAGAGCTTATTTTCTCAGCTGCAATGTGTATTAGAGGGGGGACAGCCTCATTATAAAGAAGTGAGCAGGAGCGAACTACAGAACCCTTTGTAGTATTGCTGCTTTTGACAGAAGATACCGGCATTGAGGATTGACTCGCTCACTTTCCTTTCAATTACAGACCACGTCGTTTTCAAGTTAAGGGGTGAGTGTCCCCTCCTTCTGTGGCTGTGAGTGTGTGTGCGTCTCCTTTCAACTTTGCATTCTTTTGGCCATCGCTTCCTCCTCTGCATCCCCGCTGCCTCGAGCTGTCATTCGTCATGGCTAACACAACGGTGGTGGTAAATACTGCACTTCAGATAACTGCCAGTTTACCTTTAGTTCAAGCTATCAGTCATAATGACACCTCGTTTCGCTGATGAAAGCCGATGTCAAAATGCTTTCGGAAACACTAAGTGGCAGTGATGCAAATGACTGTGATTATCTCGAGTAAAATAAGAGTTTCCTTTCTATTCCAAAGTTAACCGATATGTTTTGTGACAAAAACTTTACAGCCTGGTATAAAAAAAAAACCCCAGTTTTGGTCTCTATAGCTAATTCCATCTTTCATGACAATTGTACGGGGGGTGAATTTTTGTGTAACCCGTTTGAATTTTATTAAGGCTTAAAATTAAAGTTATACATAGTTGAGGGTGTGGCTGCCTTTTAGCGTATGCTTGTCATAAACCGGCATGCACCAAAGGCTTCACACACGCCCCACCTTATTAGCCGGATTAGCCAGTAGTTAGGCAGAATCAGGCACTGCCAAGATGGGGACGGCGGAGCAGCCCACTCTGAGCTTCAAACCCGCTTGTAAGAAACCTATGGGTGACGCCACAAAGGCTACGTCCATCCTTTATGTACACTCTATGGATTTGGGATAGTGCTGTGTAAAATGCACAGTGACATTTTCATGTTTGTATGCAATTCTTATAAAATTAGTACAAAAAAAAAAACTGTTCAGGTTGTTTTATTAGCTGTTAAAGAGAACAGAAGATTTTTTAAGAAAACTGAGATACAGTCGTACATCCTCACCTGAGACCTGTCCACTCACAAGGATGCCCAGTGTTGCAGCAAATCCAAAAGCAAAGTTAACAGAGAGGAATGTGCCATGGGATCCTCGGCTTAGCACCAGCTGTGCTACTGCACCACAACCAAACATCTGGATAGAAGAGAGAAATCAATTCAGACAAACAATCTGGAGTCATTTAATGACCACATATACCTTTTTTTACATCTGCCTTTTGAACATCCCCCAACCACAGACTTGAAATATGTTGTCAACTGAAGAAACAACCTGGAGATGAAGTTATTTTTGTGGACAGACAGTGGTAGAAAAACTTCAAAGAGAATAATAAAGCCCTGCAGTGGCCTGACCTGGAGTCAGGTGTCCAGCTGAGTCTTGCTTTTTGTCTTATCCAGGGTGTGTCTCTGTGACCTCAGAGGTCATGCGTATGTTATGGGTGGGCTTTGCGTGGGACTATTGATGCAGACAGCAATCTGACTCCACCCGCGGAGCCCTCCTCCACGGCAGGCCGGCTCTGACCGCCGAGGGGGCCCGGCCGCCAGCGGAGCAAAAGGTATCGCGGAATTAACAGATCAGTCACACCCGGGGAGCTGCACAACAAATGGCCTGGCGCTTCACCGTCGGCGACCTCTCCTGATATTTTTGTTGTCCGTGGGTCACCATGAGAAACAGAGGGATTCCAGCTTGTTTTGCACTGGCTAAAAATATTTTGAGAGAATCTTGTGGCTTCCTCATGTGTGGAAACAGGTTTCAGTGGGGACTACAGACGTTGTATGAAGTCTATCATTAGAATATGGATATAAAACAATAGGGCTCTCTGTGTGTAATTTAGGAGAAAATGAATGCAGGGGATAATTGATGGAGGAGGCTTCAGCTTTAAAGCTCTTAAGAAGAAAGTTAAAATTATTCAGCGTTTCATCTACAAGAGCAGAAATTTAATGTGAGGGGAGCAGCAGTTAAAGTTTCTTTACCTTTTAGCATAATGTAAAAGCAGCCTTTGAACATCAAATCAGTCTTAAAGAGGAGACCCAGAGAACCTTACAAAAAAACTCAAATTATTCCCTACTTTGTCATCAGACGACTAAAACTTCTGCTAGACACGATAACATCCTCACCTCTTCCTCTACACAAACATGTTAGACAAGGAGGATGCAGAATCCCTGGAGGCATTTTCAAAAGATCTTTTACTCTTTACTCTTGTTGAACAGAAAAGACTTTAGAATATGTTCTTGGTGGGGAAAATGACCTCTTGCATCTCGTTAGCCGTTTTATCATGATGTGCTGATAAATCGTAGACAATAATTATATTGATCACCATCTACCATCTTTAATTGATGGATAAATTCATTTATCTCAGGTACATTCAACAGCACTACTTCAATTTCCTTTTGATCATATCTCTATATGCTTCATATTGTATGTATGTTCTATATGAATTAGATAACTTTCATTGATAGGCTACCAAGAACGAGCCAATCACAGCTCATAGTGTAGATTCAAGTGTAGATTATACAGGTTTCTAAAACCCACTTTTCATTAATATTTCACATAATTAGTTAATATTTAATTTCCTCCATTAACTAAATAATCCACTAGCACAGCATACATTCCAATTATTTAACAGTAGCACACGATAATCTGAATAATCAGAAGGTAATCCTCTGCATTAAATTCTAACTACTTTATTCTGAGCATAATAAACATTCAGTAATTTGGCCTTTTCTCTGTTTTACAACAACAACCTGATCCTCTCAGCATCCTGCAAGATTAATGCAAACATACTCTGTACTCACCACCAGAATGAGGGTTCCCAGGCATTCAGCCAGGGCCTGGCGGAGGAGCACATGTCGGATCTGAAAGATCCCTGCCAGCTTCTCCAAAATGTCTTTTTGTTTCCCCATGATGCTGTTATAATAAGATTATCTTGAGGTAGGCTCTGTGGTCTAATAACGAATGTGTGTCAGGGGGCTGTGCATCAGCTTTTAGGGGTCTCCTGAGGATCCCTCCCTTAGTGAGAAAAAAAAAGATCTCCTTCAGACCGCCTGCCCCATCTCTTCCTCACAGTTTTTGTGGCTTCTGAACTTCTGATCTGACTTACTTTCAGCATTTATCTCTCCACACTACTGCCAAATATGAAAATAAAGCTATGAAGTTGCACATTTGCTCCAGAACAGTGGTTCCCAACCTCTGTTGGCGGCACACATCCAACTTCGTAACAGAATGGAGGCCAGATAATACCTCCTCAGAGCCTTTTCATTATAAAGATACAGATTGAACATTCAGGACTGAACTGAAAGCAGAGGAGGCTCAATTTTTCTTTTTTGTTTGATGAGGGGGGAGTCACCATCTGTCTCTTGACTCTTTCCTTTTTAAAGATCATTTCACTGTAAAACATTTAAAATTATTCATTTAATTTCTTCAATTTTCATTTAAAAAAAAAATAAAAATTAGATCTTTTCACTGAAATTATACTGTTTTGCAAACGATTTGTTGGCCCACTTGCAATACCTTTGCGGCCCACCAGTGGGAACCCCTCCTCTCAGGGCTTCAAGCTTCCTTTCCCCACTTTTAAATGATACCCAACCCCAATTAAAATGTAACTCTTTTTAGACACAGTCGTGCAGATTTATCAAGCAAAGCAGTTGATCCTGAGGGACATGAGATGACAAAAGGCCTTCTCCCAGATTGATCTCTCTTCACCAGCACTTCACACTCACAGCTGTGGAGGGCTCTCCACATTAAGGGGTCATGTATAAATAAACAGGTAAACTGTGGGATGCACACAATACCCTCCACCGTAAGTGGGAAGAGCCAGTCGCCATGGATACTGATAGATCCTGTGCTCGTCCAACTGTTGGAGCTATTGTGTGGTGTTTCAGTGTAAACGCACTAATTCCTCGCTACCTAACAATGTTCAGATCCACGTTGGCTCTTAACTGAGAGACTAAGAGTCGGTGTGGGTTCGACATTGTGTTGTTATTTTGAAGGGAGCATCTCACATGTGCTGTGTGTCCTCGTGTCCTTCAGCTTGTCTGTCATGTCTGACAGTGTGCAAAACACTAGACAGCAAAACATCCTCAAAACATGACTGAATTCAAATAAGTTGAATACATTTATTGTTGTCCAAAGTCAACATGAAAACATGCAAGAGAAATATAAGAAAGGTTATTTCAACCAGGAGAGACTAATACGAAGAACAAAAGAATATGAGAAATTTATTGTGAACAAGAGGAATAAGACTTCATGAGAGGGAAACTTCTGATCAGATGGTTTGATTAGAGATGGTCACGCATCCACGATTGAGGAGGGTCACAGATTCTTTGCAGTGCTGAAATGACGGCAGAGAGAAAGAAAGAGAGAGAGAGAGAGAGAGAGAGAGAACAAGTTTGACAGCTTGGTGATTGGCTAAAGGCCAGCGTGTCAGGTTGTGATTGGATGAAGACGAGAGGAAATGTGCTTGTGACTTAGAAAGGCAGACTTCTGGACTGAGGTTTAGCTAAGCTTCATGTGGCCAAACTAATATTTGCAAAAGAAAAAACCTTGTAGGATCTTTACTCCATCCTGTGACACGTGTGCATCCGTCAGGGGCAGTGGAGCCTGACTGTGTGTTTTATAGTCCACTGACACCAGCCTGTAGCCAGTTTAGGACAATCTTTAATTTAGTTAAGCCTCCACAAATCTTCCGGATCAATGGGATGAGGTTACAGGCGCCACGATGAGGCTGAGCCATAGAGTTACACTTTCAAGTGTACAGGATACAGCTATTCTGTCTCTTCCAGATATGATTACTGTTTGAATACTGTGCACCAGTAGTGATAATTAGAGAAACTCTGTAATGTAGATGCCAGGAGGAAAGTGAGGAAAAAAAACGACAATACATCTGCTGCTGCTGCAGCTGCTGCATCGAAAATGTGCAATGCTAAGTGTCCTTTTAATGATTGTAGTTTATGATGAGCTCACATATTCCTGAATAAAAGTGTGCATAATCAAATTTCCACAAACAAACTAACCCAGCGGCGTGCTGTGTCCCGAGTATCTGTGGACCGGTGATGAAGAGCTTGAGCTTGCAACTAACTCGTTTAAATTTAACTGAAGTGTTGAACCTTCAGTTACTAAATCACCTTGTGAGTGTCAATCTATGAGGGAAGCAAGAAAAAAACACAAAGAGGCGTTTACTCAAAGGTGTGTGTGTGTGTGTGTGTGTGTGTGTGTGTGTGTGTGTATTACTCTTCGAGCAGGCTAATGCAACTGTTATCATTCTCTGAGAGTAATTAAGACGCTCACATCTCCTGCTTTGTTCAGCGTATTAGTGCGATGGGAACGGACGGAGGAGACGGCTGTGATGGTTTATCTCTGATATTTGTTCAAATTGGTCTGACTTGCTGTTTCGGCACAATGCACAAAACACCCCCCCGTGATAACCCCAATTAACATATTCATTCAAATACTGCTTAATTTACTGATCTAAGTATTTATCTGAGATTTTTTTTTTTTCCATCACTGTTTTCACAATATTCTCTCATGAGGCCGCTGCCTTTATTTTTGCTGTTTGTGTATTTTTGTGTTGTCGACTCACCTTGCTGAGGAAGAGAGGTGCAAGGGTACGAGAATCAAAGCAAAATGATATCCTGGGTGAAGTTCAGTGAGCCACAACACGGAAAAACCTGCAGTATATGTTGGAGAAGATGATATTCAATTATAATGAGATCTAAATATGTTTGGTGTTGTTGTGTTTTTATTATGAAAATACACCATTAATCACACAGAATGTAACTTCTGCTGCTAAGGGTCTCTCAATCAAAACAAGAACAAAAGACAGCGTTGGGTGACATTATGAAATAGCATGGGATCATGGGAGTTGTTGTCTTTGCTGTAAGCTTCTCTCAGTTTGGATTTTTTAAAGCAGTTTCACGTTTAAAGTCAGTGTTTGGTCGACGCTACAGTGGACAGGAGACGTCAGGGAAGCGCCTTTGGTTAAAATATATAGTTGAAAACAACCGAGGTGTAAAAAGTGTATGTGGCTTAAAATTAAATATAAGAAAATAAAAAGTCAATAAATAAAATTAAATAAAATAAAAGTCAATTTTGAGCTTCTGGCAGGCAACTACAACGCTGACCCATGTGCATGGGGGAGATGATGTCATTGACGGGCGACACGTGTCGTTACCATGATTAAAATCACATATTTCTCAAGGTTCTCAAGGAAACATTTGAGAGTACACACACACACACACATACACAAAGTACACAACTCAAACAAATATATAACATAGGTCTAGTCATTAAAAGTAATTGCATTCTCACATCAGATATAAAAAAATGTGTAATTCTTGTTGCAGCTCACTCACAAACACACAGAAACACATGCACGCCTTCTTCCGTCAGGACATGTAAGACACAGCATGCCCCAACCAGCAGGCTGCCACCTCTGCTAAAACACTGGGTTTGTTTAGCCCAAGCCTTATGCGTGAAAGATAAACTGATTTTGAAAATAAAAAAATCACACAGACGCTCGCTCCGCTTACCCCAGTGAGCCTTTTGCCACACTGATTATAACTGTCTCTCTGATACTGACCCACCACTGTCAACCACAGCCAGTGCAGGGTTAATCCCGTCTTCGCACCTTAAAAATTAAACACACATGCTCCTGCTTTAAATTTCATATTCCTGAGCTGGATTCAAATTGCATTATGTTGTGTTCTGTGTTGAAAAATCAAAGGTCCTGTATTGTTATTTATAAAAGAACATGTAATGTGCTTCAGTGGGACAGCTGCGTGTTTATGTGGTTGAGTTAGAGGAGACAAAAGGTAAGAGACGAAGATGAATGGGTATAAGCTTATTATTTACATAGCCATGATTATGCCTCGTGCACTCCACAGCTTCCTCTGAATAAAATGAGTTTCCATTATCGGTGGATCGTATGAAAATTCACGGCTAATGCTGGAAGGTGCTCAGTGTGTGTGGACACGGTCAGGAGAGTGGCACTGCATTAGCATAACATCAATGTCAAGCTTACATCCCTGAATCGAGCTAATCAGTATTCCTACTGTCATATTAGTGTGGCACTCAGAATCTCAAACACAGAGGTATCTGGTAATATCACCAATCAGCCATGTCTATATAGGCTGCAGTCACACTCTAATGGAATTTCAAAAAAAAAAAAAAGAAAAGAAAGAAAAAAAGAAAAGAAAATGCAACTCTGCAGCCCACAAGGGTAAAATATGATCGAGCAAAAGGCTGGAAAAGGTGATGGACCGTAACGAGAGTGCACATTATCTCTACTGTTGTGAGTGGGACAATGGTTATGTATCTTCTAGTGTTATCATATGAGAGCTCCAGCAACATGTGGTGTGTGCAGGTATGACTGTGGTTACACGACCGGTAGGACAAGTTCACTTTTTTTCTGTTTTCGTTTATTTATTTAATGTTTTCCTTTTTCTGAGTTTTTGTTTTTTCATCTGTGAAAACAAGCCCTGAGAGGCATGTGATTTTTAAAAAAAAATTTTTTTATCATGGGTTCATGGGATCATATTTTTTCACTTGCCTCTCAAGGTTTGTTTTTAGATTTAAAAAAAAAATGAAACGTTTGAAATAGAAATAAAGAAAAAACTAAAAAGAAGTTAAGTAAATCAATAATAGTTAACAAAAAAAAAGTTTTTTAATTTATTTATTTTTTTTATTTCTTCCCAGGAAAAAAAAAATCACTTGCCTCTCGGGAGTGGTTTATAAAAAAAACTAAACTTTAGAAAAATGAACCTGGCCAAAGAAAACAAAATCACTTGCCTCTCGGGAGTTGTCTATAAAAAAAAAAAAAACAAAAACGTAGAAAAATAGCCAGGCAAAAAAACAAAAAAAAAAACAATAGAAAAAAAAGTATGAAAGTGGAGTAAAGTACTAAACA